AGCTGTAGGCCTTAAACTAAAAACTACTCTGGCAGTTCCTTTTGATAGTTATCAGGCATTTCTGTCTGAGAATCCTTCTTTGTAGCCTCCAGTCTTACTTATTTTGGGAGGCTAACATAMAGTGGTTATACTTCAATTCTTAATCTTATAACCTAAACCTGAGAATTTGAATAGACTGTGAGCAGTGGACCAGTTCCTCAAATATTAAGTTTTCCATTTCAATCTGAACATAAAATCTATGTAAAAGATACTTTGAAATGTTGGGAGAGAACTGAAGGTGGGACGGTGGAGGAGAAACAAGGTCAGTGAGAAGATAATACCATAACATTACACCTCTAAATATTACTATTTTCAGATTATGAACTCACTAATACACCAAATTCTTGAAAGGTAGCAACTAAGATCTTCCTTGGCTATTTTTATCTCACAGATCAAGTGAACATAATCTAAGTAATACTACCCTTTGGATTATGTATCAGTTGGTTGTAACAGTTTGCCAAATCAGTTGGTTAAATGTTGACTACATGGTCAAACAGGACAATTCAAATTAACTGAAGGAAGGCAGTAATGACCACCCAAATCTAAAGCAAAAYGGCTAAAGAGGTGAGATATGACTTCAGTATTCTTGCTTTTATTTCCATTGCCCACAAGTTTTTTCTAGTTCTCACAACTATGGGTCCACCCAAGCTTTTTTCTCTTAAAAAGGCTCTGCAGTGAGAAACAGAACAAAGGTGCAATTGATCAAGAAAGCATGTTTCCTGGTAGTATTTACATTTTAAAATGGGAACAGGTTAAAGCAAACAAATCTCCAATTGGTAGAAACCCTACAAGCAATGTCTAAGAACAAGGAAATCTTTCTCAAGCTCCTCCACTCATCATTCCTGCCTCCAAAGAACAAGGATACTTTAAAATGTATCTCCCAGCTTTAAAAAAAAAGAATGTTTTAAAACAATCATGATATACATCAAGTAAAATACAGGATTATCGAAGTATGAGGATTTCTCCCATTTTCAACCACTTGAAGTTAGAAATAGTCACAACCTTTCCTGAAAGTGAAAAAAGCATACAGGCTTTATGGAATTAAGGTGACTGTCCTATTCCCATTTCTGGCTCTTTCAAATACTTCAATTAAATTTAACATTCTAGTGTCATAAAATGAATCTAATAAACAGTAAGAGAAAGTAATTCAAATGTTCCAAATCTCAGAATGTGACAAAGTTAGCCCCRAGCTAAAGAACCTACACCATCTTTTCACTGTATTGCAGGGACTACCCACACCCAACCTAAATCAGATCTCAGTTCTTCCAACTTGCTTTTTTCAGTTCTAGTCTGTGTGGAAACTTGCTAATGATTGGCTACTCTGATAAACCAATTAACGCTGTGTCAATAGCGATTAACCAACTTATAAATTACATCCTAGCACTTTACAAAGGTCTCTAGACTTTAACTCAACGTATTGATAAGAGTTAGCAGAAGAGCCTGCAATAACGATAAATGTTTGAGAGTATTATTTCTTTCAAATCAGAAGGTCYTTTTACTATGTTCCCCATTCTTTCTTGTGTGTTAAGGGCCTCTCAGGGTAGCAAGACCGGAAGTTGTACAGGTATTGTTGACACTGTAAAAGAAAATAAAGCCCCAAACCAACCAAACCAACCCCTCCACACACCAAAACCCCACTTCCAGAGAGTACAGCACGCTAACCCACCCCTAATCTCCTTAATCTCCCACTTAGATGGGAGTGAGATTGCCAAGACCAGCGTCCTGAGCGAAAGGTCGGGGGCAGAGGAGCACGGCGTGGTTTCGGGCCTGCAAGCCCGAGGTGCACAGGTGGGCTCGGGAGCTAGGGGAGGCAGCGCTGGCCTGGGTTACCTGCAGCGAAGTGGAGCGGGGTGGACTTCCTGCCCGCGGTGTCACGGCTGTTCACCTTCTCGGGCGTCACCAGCCTCTTGACTCGCTCCACGTCCCCGTTGCGGCACGCTTCGAAAAGCTCACGGGCGGCCGGCTCCACGGCCTCGGCTATAGCGCTCGCGCAGGCCGCACCGCCGCCAGCGCAGCGGCGGCCCGACATGATCCTGGCCGCCGCCGCCAGCAGCAGCGCTAGCAACGGCAGCAGGAGCCCCGGACCCGCGAGCAGGAGGGCGAGGCCCCCTGGAGGAGATGCGCTCAGGGCCTGGGCCGCTTGGCTCCCTGCTGTCACCGGAGTCGGCGCAGTCCCATGGCCGCGCCGCCGCGCGCCCCTAGCATCGGTCGGTGTCCTCCGGCTGCCCCGCGGCAGCGGAAGCAGCGAGAACCAGCCGTCCGAGTCTTGAAGCGACGCGGCGGCGGAAGCTGGCAAGGCCCCTCCTGCCAGCTCGGTGGAGCCCTGGGAGCTCACGTGACGTCGTTCCGCGCGTGCGCACTTGCGGGGACACCGGCCGGGCAGCTCTGGGCGAGTGGGGCCGCGCGGAGGGGTTTGTGGGAAATATGAGGCGAGAGTCCTAGGTGGCGGCTGGAGAAGGGGCTTCGTCCCACCGCCATCTTTACAGCGGTTCGGCCGAAACCGAGCGCCTCTGCCTATTGCCTTTAAAAAAAGAGAGGGCACAGATTTCCCGAGATGAATTTTCTTCCTGTTAATATACTGAAAAAGAGCCTTTGGAAGTTTCTCTCCGTTCTTGCATATTCTTTKGGGAGTGTTAGGGTGGAAATTTTCTGTATTTTAAGCTTCCTTTTCTTCTGTAGGATTTCTTTACCGTATTTCTCTCCTGAAGCCCCCGCAACTGCTTTTGTTTCTTGTAAGCCACTTTTCAGAAGTGAACCAAGTTTGGAAGAACTGCCCCAAGATAAAGGAAATCAAGAAAGTGATGAAAGTTATTCCAATTCTAAAGTAACAACTGAGAGGAATGGCTCTGTTGAATTACTTTTTCATAGCAAGTTATGTGCTTAGTGCTGACTGGAAGACCTGTCTATAAGTCAGTATTGTACAGGGCACAGCAGTGGTGCCAATATGCTGGGCGTGCACATCTCCGGAAAAGGCTTCTGAATTGTGATTTTTTTTTTTTTTCTGTGACCAGGGAATACAAGGAAAGCACCTAATTTATTTTCCTGCTCAATGTAGAGGCATAGTTGTGAAAGATTTTCCTGACCTCAAGAAAAAAAAAAAAAAGTAGATAGGTTTTGCCTGCGTAACTATTCATGTTGACCTTTGGCATGCTGACAAGCTTTTCTCCCCTATCGTATTAACCTGTTTTTCAGGAAATCCAGTTTTTGTTTGGGAGTGTTGACTCACTGCTGTGCTAGAAGAGAATGTCCACTTTTTACAAAAGCATTTTTATAAATATGAACGTTGTTATAAATATGTAAGTTAAGTAATCGTATGTACTTGAAATGCTTAATATAAATCAAAATTTTGGTGCATTTGAACTCACCAAAGTACTAGAACATTGTCAATATGATTGTTTCTTGTTTTTCTTCCTCATTTCACCAACTTGCCAAATATATTCCCAATTTTTATTACTGTTTCTTGTTCAGTAATTTCCACTTATGTATTTGCTTCTGATGTACGTGTCCCTAAACAACACGTTGTTTAGTTTTACTTGTTTTTCTTTTTTTTTGAAACAGGGTCAGGCTATATTGCCCAGTTGTTCTCTATCTTGTGGTCTTCCTGCCTAAACCTCTAGAGTAGTTGGGATTATAGRCTGAGCCACTGTGCTTGGTCACTTTTATTTTATTTTATTTTTGAGATTTATAAAAATATCAGGTTTTTTTTTGTAATTTCTTTTCACTTAACGGTTTGTGAGACTCATGCATTCTTTTCATTGCTTTATAGAGTTGCATTAAATTAACATACCACAATTTTACAATTTTGCTGGACATTTGGTTTGTTTCCAATTTTTTTGTTATGAACATTCTTTTCCACTCTTCTAGTACACCTGTGCAAGAATTTAGTATGGGAGGCTTTCAGACATTATGCACTACTCATAGTATAAGAAATTCATTTGGTGTCTTCAACCAGGAAACACACTCGCCTATATCCAATGAAAGTTTCTTAAAATAACAAAATCCTATTTRCCTGTCCTATGTGTCAAAAAATGCTAATTGAGACTCTTAAAATGCATCACAGAACTCACTAGTAAGTGTGACCCAAGTTTTGAAAAACACTGAAAGAAAGGATTACAGGAAATATAAATGTTCACTTTCCAAGGTAACATTGTTTTTCAAAGGGATTTTGTTAATAATGTCTATACCCACCTGCAGCATATAGGAGTTTTCATTTTTTATCACCCACCCTTGGTATTGGCAGACTAATTTTCCATCTTGGTAAATGTAAATGATATTTCAGAGAGATAGTAGTTGACTTTTTTTGAAATAGCAAATAATCATTAGAGAAATGCAAATCAAAACCACAGTGAGCTATAACCTCATACCCATTAGGATGTAAGTTACTATTAAAAAAAAAATACGAGAGAACAAGTGTTGGTGAGAATGTGGAGAAATTAGAATCTTTTGCACAATTTGTGGAATCAAAAAATTGTCACCTGTTATAGAAAATAATAGGGTAGTTCCTCAAACAAATTAAACATAGAGATATCAATCCACTTCTTAGTATCTGTATCTCTAAAAGAATTGAAGGCAGGATCTCAAGGAGATATTTGCACATCCATGTTCATAAGAGCATTGCAAGAGCTGAGGGGTACAAACCCAAATGTCCATGAATGGATGGATGAATAAGCAAAGCACACAAACACACACACTTATATAAATATTATTGAGCCCTCAAAATGATGGAAATTTTGTCACATGCTATGACATGAGTGAATCTTTTTTGTGGGAGTGGTGGTACAAGAGATGGAGCCCAGAGGTGCTTAATGACTGAACCACATTCCCACCCCTTTTTATTTTTAAATATTTTAATTAATTAATTTATTTTCATGTGGTGCTGAGGCTCAACCCAGTGCCTCTCACGTGCTAGGAAAGTGTTCTACCACTGAGATACAGCCCCAGCCCACCTCTTTATTTTTATTTTGAGACAGAGTCTCACTAAATTGCTAAGGCTGGCCTTGAACTTGCAGTTCTTCTACTTCTGCCTCCTGAGTTACTGGGATTACAAGTATGGGCCACTGCACCTAGCAACATGAGTGAATCTTAAGGATACAATGCTAGGTGAAATAAGACAGTCACATACGATTCCATGTATRTGACTGTCTTATTTGTATGTGATTCCATGTATATGACTTGAATTAAATGTACTAGTTTTCTGAGGACTGCTATGAGGAAATGCCACAAAATGGATGGTTTAAAGAATTGACACTTATTACTGTATGGAGGCAAGAAGGTTCAAAATCAAGGTGTTAATTTCTCCTTGAGGCCTCTCTCCTTCTCACATGTCCTTTCCTCCACATGCACAACTCTGTTGTCTCTTTTGTGCCCAAAATTCCTCACCTCATAAGGAATCCAGTCAGGTTGGATTAGAACCCACACCAAATGACCCCGTATAACCTTGATTATTTCTTTAAAGACTCATTCTCTAAATATAGTCACATTCTGAGCTACTGGGGATTAGAGTCTCAACAGAAGAATTGGGGGCTGGGGACACAATTCAACTCATTATGTAAGGTATCTAAAGTAGTAAAATTCACAGAAACAGAGAGTAGAATGGTGGTTATTAAAGGCAGGTGAGAAAGGGAAATGGAAGATTGTTTAATGCTTATAGAATTTTGGTCTTATAAAATGAAAAATTTCTGGAAAAATGTTGTATAACAATACTTAAGATTACTGAACTATTCACTTAAAAATTGTTAAAATAAGGCAGGTGCYGTGGCCCATGCCTGTAGTCCCAGCAGCTTGGGAGACTGAGGCAGAAAGATTGTGGGTTCCAAGTCAGCGTCAGCAATTTAGCAAGGCCTTAAGCAACTCAGGGAGACCTTGTCTCTAAATAAAATATAAAAAAGGGCAGGGGATGTGGCTTGGTGGTTTAGTGCCCCTGGGTTCAATCCCCAGTACAAGAAAAATAAATAAATAAAAAGGTTAAGATGGCAAAAAAAGCTAATAAAATTGAGTATCTTAGTTTGTGATGCTATAACAAAGTATTCAAGACTGGGTTATTGTTTATAAATATCTATAATAAATTAAAAAAACATTTATTTTAGTTCTGTAAGCTAGAAAGTCTAAGATGAAAGTGCTAGCAGCCTAGTGTACTGTGAGGACTGCTGTCTGCTTCTAAGATGTGTCTTGTTCCTGCAGCCTGTGGGGAGTAACACTGTGCTCTCATGGCAGGAGGGATGGAAAGCAAGAGAGAACTCCTTTCAAACTTAAGCCATTTTTTCAGGGTACTAATTCTATTCATAAGGGTAGAGCCCTTAGGTCTTAATCACCTCTCAATGGCCAAACCTTTTAATATTATTGCAGTGAAGATTAAATTCAACTTGAATCTTAGAGGAGTTTGTCTTTTGTCCATTTTTATCATGTTGTTTATCTTTTGCTATAAATTTATAAGCATTCTTCATAAATTTTGGATACTAATCCTGTCAGTTATATGTGTTGAGAATATCTTCTCCCAGTTTGTAGTTTGTTTTTGACTTTCTCAATGAGAAGATGTCTCAATTTTAATGTAGATGAATTTATAAAGATTTTCATCTAGAGTTTGTTTCTTAAGAATTCTCCTTTAACACGTGGCTGTAAAGATATTCTTTATTTTCTTCTACAAGTTAAAAATTTTTACCTTTATATTTAAGTTATTAGTATTCATAGACTTGATTTTGGGATTTATTATAGGATAACAAATTTTTCTAGCACCACTTATTAAGTGGTCTCTACTTTGAGAACTACAGTGCCACGTCAAGCTTCCTCATATTTACGAATTAGTTTGGGATTCTCTTTCATTCCACTGATTGATTTATTATCCTTCTTCCAATACCATACTCTTAATATTTAATAGCAGTCATTGGTCAATAGTAGCTATAAAATCCTCTGAAGCATTCATTATAAATATCTCCTATGTGGAGACGTAGGCTAATTTTTTATTAGACCTTAATTCTGTTCCCTTTGAGGAATTCTGTTCATGGTTCTTGATTTTACCTTCTTGGATATTCTTCCTTGTCTATTTTTCTTCATGGCCATACATGAAGAGGTTGTTGAGGAATATACCCTTTATGGGGACTGCACAGTTTTCTCAGCCTGCTTGCAGCTATGCAAATTTTAGAACCCAAAGTTTATTTTAAAACTAGAATTGTTGAATGATTTTTCAGTCCAGATTCTATGGTTGACTCTGTTAGTTTTTGTTTTTGGCAAAACAATTCCTTCTAAACTTAATTGGTTTCAGATTAATTTGCTTGTAGTTAATTTCATATACCTGTAATGGCACTTAAATTATTTTGCAGATACAATTCTCAAACTTGATTATTTCCTGCTTCCTGAATGCCATCGAGTTTTTCTCTCTTAATGATAGTTACTTTAAGGCCATTGGGCTTGGGAAGGAGGCCATTCCTTTATTCTTTTCCATTTGTCTCAATATCATCATCATTATCATGATCATTTTGCTTTACTGGGGATTGAATCTAAGGATGCTCTACCGCTGAGCCCTTATTATTTATTTATTTTTTAAATGTTGAGACAGAGTCCTGATAAGTCACCCAGGCTGGCCTTGAACTTGCAATCCTCCTGCCTCAGGCTCCCTAGGTAGGATTATAGGCATCTAATAC